CTCCCATGGTGCGCCGAAGATATATATATATATATATATATATATATATTTATATAATATTCTTATTAAGAATCAAATCGAATAGAGCTAATTAAAACGAGGGACTTAGTAACTGTGAATATATGAGTTCAATTCTTATCTTACTAATCCTATTGTTAGACTTGAGAGTAGCATTAATTGTTTGGCAAAGTAGCGACGTAAAAGGTATTTGTTAGCATTATCATTCTTTGGTATATTTTTTATACTTTTGAGTTTTTTATGTCGTGTATTTTTTCTAAGCCTGCCAATAGATTTCTCTTTTGTGCATGATTTTCCTATGACAACACGAACTTCTTGTAGGAACCTTTAAATGTTTGTGGTCAACTAGTAAACTAATATCTTATCATTGACTCAGCCCTAATCTCTCTAGGGTTGCTCAATTTTTCTTGATTCACCTAATCCGACACTTGCACTAGGGTTATTTTTCATCTCACCACCTCAACTCCCTCTTGCCTAACATTTCTTTCTCATCACCCCACATCCTAAGACCCACCTATCTTTTGTATTGCTCCTCATATCAGCTAATATCCTTAATCTATCCCCACACTTTTAGCCCCAATAGTTGTGTCATCTACTCTTATTGGATTTGAGAGATTTTGGGTTAGTTTAATATAACCAAAGAGAATTTCCATTATTAAAAAGAAAAACACATATGACTTTAGTTAACATTAAACTAGGTATCATTTTTAATAAAGTGTATTAATAAAAAAGTGGATGAAAATAAAAAAGTGTTTTTCTTAGAAAAAAGATATTCAATATAGGTGGGTTAGTTATTTTGATAAACTTTTTAATGAAGTTTTTGAAAATACGATCGACGTTAGTGATCTTAATATCATTTAATAATATAAACACGTTTCTTTTTTATCGTCGCATTAGTAAAACGAAGTGGAGGATTTAAGGAAAACCAATGGTGGAAAGTCTGTAGGACCTAATGATATTCCAATTGAAGTGTGAAAATCTTTAGGAGATGTTGGAATTTCTTGGCTTACTAAACTCTTTAATATTATTTTAAAAACTAAAAGGATGTCTGAGGAGTGGAGGAAGAGTATTTTGGTCCCCATTTTTAAGAATAAAGGGAATGCACAAGAGTGCAAATTATAGAGGAATTAAGTTGATGTGCCATACTTTAAAATTATGGAAGTGGGTAATTGAACATAGGTTAAGACGTATTACAAAGATTTCTCATAATTAATTTGGATTTATGCCATACACGTTTATTATGGAAGCTATACATTTATAGAGAGGTTTGATGCAGAAGTTCAGCGATAATAAGGAGGGTCTATATTTGATTTTTATTCATTTAGAAAAATCTCACGATAAGGTTCCAAGAGATATACTTGAGAGAGTTCTTGAGAAGAAAGGCGTCGATATGACTTATATTCAAGTCATTAAAGATATGTACGCTAGAGTTGTTACTTATGTTCAAACTGAAGGAGGATTGACCAATTATTTTCTTATTTTTGTTGGATTACATCATGGATCGGCTTTAAGCCCATATCTTTTTGCTTTAGTTATGGATGGTCTTATTGGAAATTCACAGGAGGATGTATCTTGGTGTATGTATTTTGCTGGATATCCTTCTCGTGGATAAGACGAGAGAAAAAGCCTGAAAAAAAATTTAATTATAGAGGTCTACATTGGAATCTAAAGGCCTTCATTTGAGTAGAAATAAAACTGAATACATGAAATGTAATTTTAGTAGTAGTACCTCTAGTGAGAGAAGTGTAACTTTGGGTGATCAAATTATTAAAAGGTGTGAACGATTTAGATATCTCGGTCTGTTGTTTAAAGGGATGGTGATATAGATGGGGATGTTAATAGTATAATTCAAATTAGTTGGTTGAAGTGGAGTGCTTCAGGCCTTTTGTGTGATAGAAAAGTATCGCTTAGACTGAAGGGAAAATTTTATAAGATGGTTGTGAGACCTGCAATGCTCTATGGCGTTGAATGTTGGCCTTTAAAAGAGAAGTATAATACTAAAGTGTTGCCGAGATGAAAATGATTAGGTGGATAAGTGGCTTTACACGCTTTACACTTAGAGAGAGAGAGAAAATGTGAAATGAATATCTCCGTGATAGGGTTGGTGTAGCTCTAGTGACGAACAAAATTAGAGAGAGTCGTCTTAGATGGTTTGGTCACATTAAAAGTCGATCATTTGATGATTCAATTAGGAGAGTAGATGTTTAAGATTCGACTTATGTTAAGAAAGGCAGAGGTAGACCTAGGAAGACTTGGGCTTATTGTATAAAAAATGATCTTAATTTATTACAACTAAATGAAAATATGACGCTAAATCGGACGCAATGGAGAAAAGAGATTCATGTAGCCGACCTCACGTAGTAGGATTAAGGCTTTGTTGTTGTTGTTGTTGTTGTTGTTGTAAACTAGGTAACATTTTTATTTTAACAAAAAATCAACTTTGAAGTTAGGTTAATGAATATTATATTATATGTTCATTTATCATAAATTTAACCTTAGCTTTATGTTTGATTGAGCTTAACATAAATTAATTACTATATTGATTGCATATGCTAGATGATGCTCCTTTAGTTACAAAAGAATTCTATTTCATTTCTCTGATGATCTTTGTGTTTAATTATTTTTAGCTTTATACACGAATGTGATATAAATTTAGGATCATTTTTGGACAATCGCAATGCATAAGCAATGAGCATATTTATGATCACAATTATGATGAGCCAAGTAGCAAACAATTTGTTGTGCCTCTTTCTTCGTTACCAAACAAAGCTAAAAGTCCACATTCCTATAGGGGGGATTGACACAAAGGTTAAATTAGATAGTTTAATGATAATTATAAAGTTATTTAAATTATTTTTTTGGATAAAAATAGGCTATTTCTCTTTTGTGGCTAGCTTGAATGTGCTTGAATTTGGAGAACAATATTCTTCTATTTCCCATAGAATTTATGTGGTTTCATCGATTGATTATTTGCTCCTGTCTTTTGGATGACAACTATTTTTAGCTAAACCACATAAATCTTAGTATCTCGTTGTGCTTTATTTCTTGATTATTATTTGTGCATTCATTATATTAATTCACAATAGATGTTTTCGCATATTAAAAAATAAAGTATCTATAAAATAAGATGTGTTATGTTCATTAAATAGAACAAAAAGAAAAGAAAAATATGATTGTTCCATAACATAGCAAATATGAGCTCCATAACTGTTTAAAGTGTGCGATCATGAAGTTTAGGGCGCTTTGAGGCACTTATAAATTTAAGCTTGAAAGAATGTAATTTTTTGCATTAGTTGTTTTTGTCATCTCTCAATTATATTTTTTGTGTATCCTACTTTCATAATATATCATCTGAATTATGAAACAGCTTATAGAGAAGGATCTGGATTCATCCATTGTCTGGTTCTGGAAAGCAATCAATGCTAGTGACAGAGTCGATAGTGCGCTTAAGGACATGGCAGTGGTGATGACGCAGCAAGACCGAGCTGAGGAGGCCATTGAGGCCATCAAATCCTTCAGGCACTTCTGCTCCAAGCAAGCTCAAGAGTCCTTGGATAACTTGCTAATCGATCTTTATAAGGTAATTTTTGTCATCTCTCTGACCAAGTTGTTAATTTGGCACTAAACTATCCATTATGTCTAAACCCATCTAGCCATGACTTGAGATTAGTTCAAAATTATATGATCTGATCTCCTTATGAAAGTTGACGTTGTCAATCTCAATTCAAGCTAAATCTAATTCATTAGTTTCACTCTAAATCAAAAATATGTTCAATTTCAATCAATACTAATTCTAACCTGATATCATTTAAGCCTGTTATAGCTATTTGATTTTGATATGAACTCAATACAAGCCCAAAGAGTATCATCAATTTGTCAATCAAATTCTTCTCCCTTAAAATGAACAACAGAGTGATTCTTAAATGTGTTTCCATCAGAAATGTGGTATGGTTGAGGAGCAAATTGAACTACTGAAGCAAAAGCTTAGGATGATATACCAAGGAGAAGCATTCAATGGGAAGCCCACAAAGACTGCTCGATCTCACGGCAAGAGATTCCAACTCTCCATCAGGAAAGAAACCATCCATGTCCTGGTAGTTGCTTCCATTTGCTATAAATATGTTCAATAATACAGTACAATATATCGATCTATGAACTCATGCACATAAATTATGTGGCAGGGAAACTTGGGTTGGGCATACATGCAACAAAACAACTTTGTCACCGCAGAGGCGGTCTATCGCAAGGCGCAAATGATCGAGCCTGATGCTAAGAAGGCTTGCAACCTTGGAATCTGCCTAATGAAGCAAGGCCATTTTGATGATGCAAGGTGTGTTCTACTTGAAATTGTCAACCATAAATTAATAGGTTGTGATGAGAGAAAGGTGAGTGATCGTGCTAATGAGTTACTTTACGAGATCGAGTCACGGCAGTCAAATTCAGATGTAGATATTGATTTGAGGTTGGAGGAGAAGAGCATTGTGAAACTTGACCATGTATTGAACGAAAGCTGTCAACAAATATCTAAGAGATTGCCTATCTTTGAAGAGATATCCACACATAGAGATCAAACGGCTTTCTAGTCCAGTTTCTCTTTTGCAATTACTTTTTTCATTGAGTTCTTAAATGTAAGCTTTTTACAATATTCAGTGTTCTGTTTCATTTTCTTTTAGGACATCCACTAGCAATTGAAATGATCTAGTAGTTGTACAGAATTTTGATCTAGAGAAAGAAAATAAGTGAGGCAACATGAAAGGCTGTTTTCATCTGTAAATTTACCCATGGGAACAAACTTATATCATCTGCATGATAAGCATTAATACTTCACCATGTGTATATTTGATTAGAAGAAAAGAAGCGTGATTTATGAATTTTGTTGTTGTTTATGTGCTTTGTACTATGAGGCAATAAAAGACATTAAGTTGCAGGTTAGCTTGTGGTGATGCAACACTTAATTTAAATATCTCTAATTGAGCTAATATTTTTGTTTGAGATAATTTAAGATTATGATCTTGCCTTTTTCTTGAGCAAGACATCCCGTAGAGGATGAAGGAGGTGGTATGACGTCGTTGGGCTTACCAAGAACGGTTAGAGTCAGGCACACAACTGGTCAGTTTCCATGCCGTAGAAATGATGCACCTCTGAGTCATAATTGCACCCCCCACCCCTCGTGCGAAAAATTCTACTAATTCGATCTGGTTTGATAAATTTGTGGTTCCCACTAAATGGGCTCCTCTACCACCAAAGTAGAAGATGTACTATCTGACCCTGCGATCCCTGGCCATATAGTCGTCCAGTTTGATGGCCGCTCGACCTGATTTTGCCCGGCCAAATGCTTGCCCAGTCTGATGACCTTTTTACCAAATAGCACCCAACTTGAAGACAGGTTGGCCTAAAGTTCACCCATCTTGACAATCAAACAAACCACTCTATAGGACTCATAAGCATCATTTAGATATGACCAAAAATACCCCCACTGTATCTATATATCATAAAGTGTGTAACTATAACATGACCGCCCCAATAAATTCGGGGCATCTCATGAATAATGAGGAGACAATTTTACTCTTCAACATTCTCTCTCTCTCTCTCTCTCTCTCTCTCTCTAGATTTCGAATGCTATATTCCTTTGGCGTGCCTCGGACAGATTGGGGTTCAACAATAAATATAAAATAATCATATTTCATCTTAGAATAGAAAAATGTTTTAATGTCTACTATTGGCTAAATATCCTCTTACATTAATCACTTATCTTATATTTATCAAATGGGACCATATCATTTTCTATAAGATTAACTGAAATTTGGTTGCAGTTTAGTTATTTGAATTTCTAGTATTGATTGCATCTGCAGTATTAATGATTGTTATGAATTATTTTGATAATATATATAATATACGTATATGGTTGGACCTAGATAATAATAAAGGGGAGCAATCTGCTTTCTTCTCCCCTTAATCCCATGGATACCCCCTTGCCTTGGAAAAATTATTCCATGCCAGACACCACACGCAGCTTGCGTGCGGTGTCTGATCCAAACCATAAATCACCTGATCTAAGGTCCGGATGATTTCGGTGGGCCCCACCGAATTTTTTTTTTTAAAACAGAAATAATCCTGAGCGTAGATCATCGTGATCTACGGTCAGGATCGGACACCGCATGCAGAGATGCATGCGGTATCCGCACGCAATAATCCCTCCTTGCCTTGACCAACTCCGGTATCTGTGCGTCATCTACCTTGATTCTAGTGTCTTTATAATACCCAAGTGGTCCCAAAATTAATCAACCAACACCAGAGCAGCACATGAAGGCAGAATACACCTCTGATGATAGTAACTAGGACCGCCACTCTAACAACTGCCATATCATAATTTCTATTCTGAATAATTCTAGTTGCGTATATTGGCCTCATCATAGCTACATGAATGTATCTCATGGAGAGGTATATCATGTCAATGCCTTGCATTTTATGTTAGAATGATGTATTACCATAATTTATTGAAAAATATCTTCATGTTGCAGATTTTAAAATAAAATAAAATAAAAACTCCTAAAATAAAGCATAATCGGATCGCTCGATATTGGAGACATATTTGTTGTAAGAGATAATTACTTTTATGTTTCTACTATTTTGAGCAAAGATAATCAATGCATCAAACTATAGGTGAGATGTCTTTGCAGTCTGAATTATCTATTTTTTAGATATGAGAAAAACTATCAGGGAGGTATGGTACACAGTACCTCAATGAAAAAGTGCTTTGAGCAGCGGCGCTATATGTTCTGCTAAACCGTGATGAAATTTGACCATTATACAATATGATTTTTAATAATTAAAAAATATTTGTTATTACTCATAATTTTATCTAATTAATTTTATTATATAAATAATAATGATATGATTAAGTTGTTTGCCGAGAGTTTAAACATAGGGGATAATTCTATTATAAGCAAACAAAAAAATTGAAGACGAATTTTCAACATGGTTCACATTATACATACATAGAAATAATAATTCAAATCACATGTAATATAATTTACATGCTCAAAATAAAATTAGTTATATTATTGGACTATTATGGGTTCATAATCCAAGTAACAAAGTTACTGAACATAACTTATTAGATCTTACTCGGAGGCATAATCATAACTCCATTACATAGCAAATATTTAATGTAAATGATAATAGATTTCATATGAGTTCCTTGTGTGAAGAGAATAAAACATGTGTGTTATAGAAAACACTCACTCAGATAGTGAGATCAGTTACTATGACATACTTGAAAAACTATTATAGTTGTCGTATCCTAATTATGTTGCACGCAATATATAACTCCTCAAGTATAAGTTGTTTGATCATGTTCCTAATCAAGAACACGAACACTAAAGACAAACAATATTACCAAAGTTAAAATGAGCCAAAGATAGATGAAATTCGATTTATTTATTCTAACATGTCAAGCTAATCAAGTTTATAGCCTTTCATATCCTGGTAACATAAGAGATAAAATTAATCGAGCCATGATTATAAATAATATACCTAGAAGAACAATTGAGATACAAACTATTGTCGAACACGTTCTTTAAAAGCAAAAAATCCCTTAGAACACCGACACGTGTCCTTAATAGTTGACAGCAGATATCTGAAACTGCTCTTAATTAGCACGAATCCACTCATTCTATAAGAACCTGGACGATTTTATCAGTAAATTTTGTATGGAAAGACACTCCTATTAAGAAAAAAAGTATTAGAGCAAACATATCAATATATTTATTATTAATATTAAATTTATTTATATAAATTAATATTAATGCTTATTTAGTTATATCATAAGAGATAATTTATTTTCCTATTATCTACTGAGACCATATATTGCAGGTTCTTTCACTGGACATTTCTCACATATGGGAAGTTGCAGGCTAAAGTAATCATCCTTTAATATGAATTTGTTTTCCATTTTTTGTTTCATCAAACGCTAGTCGGTTTCCTTTCACGAAAGGTGTTCGATCAAGGAAAAATTATTGCATACAAACACCGCATGCTGAGATGTATGCGGTGTCCGATCCTGACAGTAGATCACGCTGATCTACGGTTATGATGTATTTCGGTGGGCCCCACTTTAAACTTTTTTTTCAAAAAAATTTTGATTGCATTCTGACCGTAGATCACCGTGATCTACGGTAAGGATCGGACACTGCATGCAACTATGCATGCGGTGTATGTATGCAATAATTTTTCCCTATCAAGGCCGTCAAAAAATTTAGAGTGGATAATACTCTAATTTAAAAAAAACAAAAAAATGTACTTTAATGGTCCAGATTAGACGCAGCACACAAATTTACGTGCGGTGTGAGCACACAACAAGCGCTCTCCTTTCACGCCTTACTCTTTATAAATTTGTCTCTTCTTCAATTACCTCTTAATCATTTTCCTTCATTAGCATAACATGATCTTCTCCTACCTTTTTTGAGTTCAAACTATATCCTGAAATGTTACCTTCTTCCCACAATTAAGAAAAAGCAAACAATATCAGCTCTATATATTGAGATCAAAGGCTGTGGGAGTGAGCATCGTCGTTGAAGTGCCTTTCAGAGTCGTGTTGGTGGAACGGAGAGCACGACCTGCGATCTAAGATAGAGGAGAATCGTACATTTTTGCGAAAGAAGTTTGGGAAATGCTCCTTCACCAAACGAAACTTTTCTTCCTGTTAGCATGCAGGGGAATGCAAAGGAAGTTCATTGTCTTCTCAAACGAAACCTAAGCCTCTCTTTTGTCATACATGAGAAGAAATAAATATAAGAATCTTAACTCTCTCTGTGAATAACCATGCATAGAATCACTGCATGTTTTTGTGGCAGCTACGACCCTGATGCAGAGCTGTTGCGCCGCTTGGCGCGGCGTCGGAAAAGGACATTGGAGCCTTCATCACCTTTTGGTAAAGCAGGTCATCAGGTGTTGTGGGCGTTCAAGTACCCAAACTCTTACTCAGTCCCGGAGGCCCGCTTCTTACCTGATGGTGACATACATAGCATTGAGATAAGATTTGAAGGAGAGGGAGCTGCTCAGATGAAGTTGATAATAGATAATGAGGAGGTTTTCGAGGTGGATAGCAAGCAGCAAAGGAGAGGGGAGATTGATCTCTGCATGAATGATGGAATGGTGGTTGACTTTTTGTGGGATCTCGTTAAGATTCCAAAGACCTTTTCGTTCTATACGAGGAATCGTTCGTCTAAGACAGGTGATGCCGGCAGCGGTGGTGACGGTGACGGCGCCGGCGCCGGCGATAGCTCAAATAGAGTAAAATTGGATGATTATTATCATGTTTATGCACTTGAGGTCTTGGGGATGTGAGGGTATTTTTGTTGTTTTTAAGTTTGTTTAGTGATGAAATATGGGATTATATAATAAAACATTGAGGTATTTATGTTTAAAATGTGAGGTAAGTGATTATAGTTGAAGGATATTTGATCCTAAAGGCAAAACGATCAAGGTTTAGCTTGGGTTAAAGAATGTAAGTTTAAATGGGCATGTTTGATCAAATTTCCTTCTATTTTGATCATTTATCTTATATTTTTCACATAAAATTTACAACACTTTTCGGTAGCAAGGTTTAAGGGAGCTTGTGGTATTTCTACCATTGGAGTTTCTAGTGTTTAGCGCTTCTTTAGTAGTAATGATTGTGATAGATTCTATTAATAATATATCAAAAAAATATTGATTAATTTGGAAATAGACTATAATAAAAAAGAGTTTGCGTATCATATTGTACAAGCATCTACAACGATAAAAACTACTTCTAATTTCTTCGTAGCGGATCTTAAATTATTGTAATTACTAGCGCTGCAATGGCTTTTAGCGA